GGCGATCCCTCCAAATCAGCTATTCTATCACAATATTTATTCCTTTGATTCTACAACAAATGTATATGATCATGCTAATTTATATCACTATATAATTACATTAATATATACAATCATTTAGCTGTCCATCATGCTAATAAATATAACATGAAGATAGGACACATTAATATTCACAAACAAAGACAATACTGAATGGGCTCCTCTGCTGCGCTGTACTGATTGCTTTGAAACCTATTCGGATGGAATGAGATACGATACACTTTGCTTTCTTGTTGTGTGAAAGTGCTTGAGTGACTGTCGGGAAAGGCTTTAGCGGGGAGCGGTAGTCCAACAGATGTTCCCGGGGACACATGGGAAAGTAGTGTTTTAGGATATGAGGTTCAGGAGAGCTCACCAGGATTGGGAGGTGAATGAGTTAGAAAGGATGTTACTGTTACTGCATCAGCATTGCGAGGCAGTTGACAGGCCCGATTCGACGAGATGAAAGTTGGGCAACGATGGTGTTTTTTCTGTCAAGCCTTCTATTAGAAGCTTTTATTGAGAGTCTAGGAGGTTTTTCCTGTTAAGTCTATTCGGATTCCCAAGGTTCCGAGGAAGATGTGCTTTTTCACTTTGTTAGCTGCTAGAGGGGTGATCTTGACGTCGAAGAAACTTAGGAAAACAAAAGTTATTTGCATCAGCTGGTATTACTTATGCAAGGAGGCAGGCGAAGTCGTAAATCATCTTCTGCTACATTGTAGCTAGGCCACGAGACTGGTGGGACATGTTCAGCTGGTTTGTAATGTCATGGGCAATTCCAAGAATTGTGAAAGATTTGTTGTTTTACTGGAAATCTGGAAGAAGCAAGAGAAAGTGCAGGGGATAGAATGTTGTTCGTACGGCATGAATTGAGTTTTTGGCTGTTGAGGAGTAGTCTCCGATCCCTTATTTGTTTTTTTATTGCACCCATGTAGTTACGGGTTGTATAGAGGATTGGGTGTCTTTTGTATAGAACCATATCTTTGTGTAGGTCCTTTACTGGTAGGTATACCTCTTGTATATGGCCTTTTTTGGCCTTGTTAATAATGAAAATATTTACCTGATAAAAAATAAATAAATTATATCAAATCACAAGGTTCTCATGATCTCAAAGAGATTGATTAGATTCTATATAAAGGAGAAAAAAAGATTTATTCCCCAATTCGACTACCCATCCAAGAGCATTTGGATATCTCTTTTGACAGCTCAATCCTCACAGTAATAATTAAGCGAATTCTGCCTAAGAAATTCTTGAGGTGAAAAATATCAAGGGGGCTCCCCTTGTTGGAAACTTTCTATAATATCTTAATATGTCTTTCGAGAAACAGTGCGATTTGCTAGGAAGTGATCACGATGCGGAGTCCAAAAAGATTAATTAGCCTTCTGACTGCATTACTTTTACTACAAGTTTATACATTTGTGTTAACAGCTCAAAGCCTAAAACACCTAAAATCTCCTTTGAGCGAAGGAGCTAACTACAAGTTTGAACAGATCTGTACATTCATTTTGCATCAACATTTTACATTGATGAATGCGCGTAGAAAAGAAAAGAAAAAAGAATGGAAAATATGTTGTCTTCTTAGCTGCTTGAAGTACTTGAAATTGCGTGGTGCAGATATCTCAGAGTTTTTTTGATGATTAAGGAATCCCATAAACCAGAACTCAAAATCATCCTCTGTGATTACTTGTATATACTTCTGTGATGGCTTTTCCCTATTTTCACTCTCTTTTGCTTTCATTGTCTTACTTATTGGTATCGATACCTGCAATTGTGAATCGGCTTATTAGATTATGCTTTACATGGATACAAAATTAAGAGTTGGAAGAAAAACGGAGCAGAGTGGTACCTTATAGTAGATTCTAAGCAACTTTCCAGTTTGGAGATAAGAACTTGATTGATCTCTCACTGCAGAAAGCAATCTTATCGGTAGAGATGAAGAGAAGGGCCCTGCTATTGGACCAGCTGTAGTTGATAATAGCATTGAGAAACATTCAATAACTCTTCATCATCTTTAACACTAAACTTCTGCTTGAATATTTTCTCCAACCCTCCTACTTGAAGAATTTTTGCTCCAAGGTTCAATTTTCCCTTCACAGTGTCCGTTAGCTTCGGACTAAGGCTCACTGCACAATTAAAGTTGAAACATTAAGGGCTTCACATCAGAACTTTCTTTCATACATGTATTAGTGCTTATTGCACAAAATTTTGTTCATCTTGACTCCCTTTATCTGTTATTCATTAGATTTACACTAGTGTATTGCCATGATTTGACTTGCGAAAACTGATGTCATTATTTGCAAGTTGATGTTTGGCGCCATATTTATAAATATTGAACTTCAGTATTTGAAATAGTCATTAAACTATTTAAGAACTTGATTTAGGAATTTTTCTTGTGAAGTGATGGTTTTCATTCACAATACTTCAACTTTGTCTTTTCTAAGTAAACTCATGTCCGCACACAATTTCAACTTTGAAATACTAGTTTTTAACTTAAATAAAATATTGTAAATTTTCGATTCTTCATTTTAAGTTTTCATCATGAATATAAGTGCTCACCATGCTCGCGGATGCCTTGTGCAAGACAGTCCATCCTTTCTCCAAGTTTGTTTATCTTACTAATTACAGATTTTCCTGCATATTCAAGAATATTTGATTTTAATGATCTCTTCTTTGAGGGTCATTAATACTCTTTATAACTAATACAAGAACAAGTCGATAATTCTTTGAGGGAAAATACTCACTTTGCTTTATTTTAGGCAAGTGTTTTGAAGTTGCAGATGGAAGATGGTCTTGGCAAGAAGACAGAGACAGTAGTCTTTTTTGCTGCCGTTCAAATGAGTATACTGCTGAACTCATGGGAACACCCACCTCATTTCTACCGAGTAAGTTCTTCATTGTGACTTCTGATTTTGAAGAGAATTGATATATTGTGAAGGTAACTGAGTTATTATTATGTTTTGGTTAATGGTTTGATAACATTCCTTGCAGCACTATATATATAGACAGCAGTTTGGGCAAAGTTGATGAATCTTTTAACTACTAACTGTTGCATGAGTCAGCTATGGGTCATCAAAATAGAATATTTCTCAATTTGCTGCAAAGGTTTTTGAAAATGTCTTCTTTTATCTGTCTTTTTAAATACAGTAAACTATCTCATGCTTTCTTATTTTATTATCAAGATTTGTGTTGCACATATGGTGTTGTCAACTTTTGAGTTGAAAGATTTGCTTTATGATGTAAGCTGCTTTTACAAAGTTGAGTAAAAGTAAGAGAAGGCTTTTGGTGCATAGTAAAATTATTAGTCTTGTATGACAAAGGTTGACAAGATAATGACACGGATTTATATATGATATTAAAGTTAAGTAGTGGTTGTGGATCATGAATGAGTCATCCATGAACGTTGATTTGTTGCTTAATAAATCAGGCAAAGTAAAAAGAGGATCCATTCAAATATTTCAACTGTTACATAGGGCCAACAGTTCTAGATTATATTAGCTTATCTTATAAGGCAGTTACCTTATCTTACCTTTTTTGTCATCTTATCTTGAGGAGTAAAGGAATTCATTGTGCGTGCTAACCAACGGCGAAGGCTGCTGGGTCGACATTGACATTGAGAATTTCTGGTATTCCTTTTTATTTCTTATCAAATGAATGACATCTTCTTCTGCCTTTCGACCCAACTCTTTGGTCTTAAGAACACTGGTTTTATGAATGAGTCATTACCCTTCTCCGACCCTGACTGCCCAACCTGAGAGTGGACAGTTAATGCGTTCCACTTATTTAAATCGGTTCTATGGTTGGTCCGTGACCCCTGGATGCCGAAAGTGTCTTTGGGTGATCTCATGGTTCCTACACGGTGGAGATGATGGGGTTGATCTATGGATATTCCTTCCTTTTCTTTTGCTGCATTCACTCAAAGGGTTGAAGGGAGATAGTGCATCAAGCTTTTCGCAAGGGACAACTTGATCTTCTTTACACGGGTACAAGGACCGCAATCACAACTTTCTTCCTTAGCTATCAAATCTTTAGTGTTGCAATTGCTGCACAAGGCCTGCGGTTGCAACACAGGTATCTCAGATACACAACTATAATTTTTTTTCACTTCTCTAGATTCTCTGTGCAAGAAGATGTATCTCCCTCATTTCTTCCCTTCCTCAAGGTAAGTCATTTTAACTTGATTGAAGCTACACCTAATATAATAACACATGATCTAACTCTCTTCATTCCTGACTTGAGATTTGAACTATTGAGGCAATTGGAAATATTTGACAGTACCAAACGGTTAAGACGCTCTTTATAACTTATGAGCAGTGTGAATATGCTATGGAGATGATATGAAGGGGATGGATGAAAGAGGCTTAAGCATGTTAAGTTCATGCATGTAGAGTAGTGGAGTATTTTTCTCGTTACTGTTCCAATGTTCAGCTGAACATGGAAATCTCCTTGAGTTTCAATTGGTGCTAAGGGTTAGATGCTAAGTGCTTTTCCAATGGCATAATTAAATTGATCAACGCCCTCTTATATATTATGATGAATTACAACAACAACGTTAACATACCCGGTGTGATCCCACCTGTGGGGTCTGGGGAGGTTGGGGTGTACGCAGACCTTACTCCTACCTTGTGTGAGGTAGGGTGACTGTTTCCAATAAATATTTTGAATTGACAAAGGTATTATATTTTACAGAGAGATTCTCAAGCAGAACTTGGGCTAGACTTGGTATTAGTTATGCAAATTTTGCCTAAATGTTTCTCCAGGTGAAAAGGAAAATGAAGGGGAGCTCCCTTTGTTTGAACCTTAGCATAATATTTTAAATGTGTCTCTCGAGGAGCATTGCGATCTGCTACTCAAATGTTCACTTAGGAAGTGATGACTATGTCAAGTCCCGGAAGGTGAATTAGCCTTCTGACTGCATTAGTTTTACAATAAGTTTATACATTTGTGTTGACAGCTACAGCTCAAAGCCTAAAGCTTCCTTTGAGCAATGGAGCTAATTACAAGTTCGAAAAGATCTGTACATTCATTTTTGAATCAACATATTACATTGATGAATGGGCTTATTAGGAAACAAAATGAAATAAAAAAAGAAAAAATTATCTTCTTCTATAAGTACTTGTATATACTTAAGGAATCCCATAAACCAGAACTCAAAATCATCTTCTGTGGTGGCTTTTCCCTATTTTCACTTTCTTTTGCTTTCATTATCTTCCTTATTGGGATCGATACCTACAATTGTGAACCGGCTTATTAGATTATACTTTACGTGGCTAGAAAATTAAGAGTTGAAGGAAAAATGGAACAGAGTGGTACCTTGTAGTAGATTCTAAGCAACTTTCTTGTTGGAGATATGAGCTTTATTAATCTCACTGCAGAAAGCAATCTTATCGGTAGAGATGAAGAGAAGGCCTACTATTAGACCAGCTGTAGTTGATAAAATAGGATTGAGAAACCTTTAATAACTTTTCATCATTCCTAACACTAAACTTCTGCTTGAATATCTTCTCAACTTGAAGAATTTTTGCTCCGAGGCTCAATTTTCCCTTCACAGTTTTCGTTAGCTTCGGGCTAAGGCTCACTGCACCATGGAAGTTGAGACATTAATGACTTTAGAATTGATTCTTTCTATCATATATACATGTAAATTGTGATTCTTGCATGAATTGTGGGACTTCATGACTAACTTCTCTGTATTCTTTAGGCTTACGATTGTGTTTGGCAACAACTTCAATTCGTAATACTGAAGGCATTATTTGCAAGTTGAGGTTTATCAGTATTATGCAATAACACGTGAAAATTTTGTTTGAGGAGTATTTGGTATTCAACCACAAAACTTCAACTAAGGCAAAATATTCTTTTTCAATTTTCCAACTTCAAATACTATGTGAGTGCTTACTTACCATGCTCGCGGATAATGCCTTGTGCAAGACTGTATTGACCCTCTTGGTCATTTTTGTGTCTTGCCTTCTGTGTGTCGTTTAGAGTGTTCCTATAGCGACCCCAAGTCATTTATGACTTACTGGGACTGACAATTCGATCACCTGGTCGTTCGTTTGGTCTTGGTGCGAGTTTTTGTGTTTTGGAGCTTATGAACCTTGAACGATCATTTTCGATCAAAAGTTCAAGAAGATGACATCGGAATCCAATTCTGACGATTCCATCAGCTCCGGAAGGGTCATTTTAGGCTAGTAGCATGGTCGACATGACTCCCGAGGTTTTCAGTGTGAGTCGGTGCGATTAGGCGTTTTAGCCTTTGAAAGATCACAGGTAAGCTGGACCACGGACTCTAACCGGGTACTGTAGCTAAAACCAGATCACAGGTAAGCTGGACCACGGACTCTAACCGGGTACTGTAGCTAAAACCAGATCACAGGTAAGCTGGACCACGGACTCTAACCGGGTACTGTAGCTAAAACCAGATCACAGGTAAGCTGGACCACGGACTCTAACCGGGTACTGTAGCTAAAACCAGATCACAGGTAAGCTGGACCACGGACTCTAACCGGGTACTGTAGGTAAGCCTGGACATAAGTAAGCTGGACCACGGACTCTAACCGGGTACTGTAGCTAAAACCAGATCACAGGTAAGCTGGACCACGGACTCTAACCGGGTACTGTAGGTAAGCCTGGACATAAGTAAGCTGGACCACGGACTCTAACCGGGTACTGTAGGTAAGCCTGGACATAAGTAAGCTGGACCACGGACTCTAACCGGGTACTGTAGGTAAGCCTGGACATAAGTAAGCTGGACCACGGACTCTAACCGGGTACTGTAGGTAAGCCTGGACATAAGTAAGCTGGACCACGGACTCTAACCGGGTACTGTAGGTAAGCCTGGACATAAGTAAGCTGGACCACGGACTCTAACCGGGTACTGTAGGTAAGCCTGGACATAAGTAAGCTGGACCACGGACTCTAACCGGGTACTGTAGGTAAGCCTGGACATAAGTAAGCTGGACCACGGACTCTAACCGGGTACTGTAGCTAAAACCAGATCACAGGTAAGCTGGACCACGGACTCTAACCGGGTACTGTAGGTAAGCCTGGACATAAGTAAGCTGGACCACGGACTCTAACCGGGTACTGTAGGTAAGCCTGGACATAAGTAAGCTGGACCACGGACTCTAACCGGGTACTGTAGGTAAGCCTGGACATAAGTAAGCTGGACCACGGACTCTAACCGGGTACTGTAGGTAAGCCTGGACATAAGTAAGCTGGACCACGGACTCTAACCGGGTACTGTAGGTAAGCCTGGACATAAGTAAGCTGGACCACGGACTCTAACCGGGTACTGTAGGTAAGCCTGGACATAAGTAAGCTGGACCACGGACTCTAACCGGGTACTGTAGGTAAGCCTGGACATAAGTAAGCTGGACCACGGACTCTAACCGGGTACTGTAGCTAAAACCAGATCACAGGTAAGCTGGACCACGGACTCTAACCGGGTACTGTAGCTAAGCCTGGACATAAGTAAGCTGGACCACGGACTCTAACCGGGTACTGTAGGTAAGCCTGGACATAAGTAAGCTGGACCACGGACTCTAACCGGGTACTGTAGGTAAGCCTGGACATAAGTAAGCTGGACCACGGACTCTAACCGGGTACTGTAGGTAAGCCTGGACATAAGTAAGCTGGACCACGGACTCTAACCGGGTACTGTAGGTAAGCCTGGACATAAGTAAGCTGGACCACGGACTCTAACCGGGTACTGTAGGTAAGCCTGGACATAAGTAAGCTGGACCACGGACTCTAACCGGGTACTGTAGGTAAGCCTGGACATAAGTAAGCTGGACCACGGACTCTAACCGGGTACTGTAGCTAAAACCAGATCACAGGTAAGCTGGACCACGGACTCTAACCGGGTACTGTAGCTAAGCCTGGACATAAGTAAGCTGGACCACGGACTCTAACCGGGTACTGTAGCTAAGCCTGGACATAAGTAAGCTGGACCACGGACTCTAACCGGGTACTGTAGCTAAGCCTGGACATAAGTAAGCTGGACCACGGACTCTAACCGGGTACTGTAGCTAAGCCTGGACATAAGTAAGCTGGACCACGGACTCTAACCGGGTACTGTAGCTAAGCCTGGACATAAGTAAGCTGGACCACGGACTCTAACCGGGTACTGTAGCTAAGCCTGGACATAAGTAAGCTGGACCACGGACTCTAACCGGGTACTGTAGCTAAGCCTGGACATAAGTAAGCTGGACCACGGACTCTAACCGGGTACTGTAGCTAAAACCAGATCACAGGTAAGCTGGACCACGGACTCTAACCGGGTACTGTAGCTAAGCCTGGACATAAGTAAGCTGGACCACGGACTCTAACCGGGTACTGTAGCTAAGCCTGGACATAAGTAAGCTGGACCACGGACTCTAACCGGGTACTGTAGCTAAGCCTGGACATAAGTAAGCTGGACCACGGACTCTAACCGGGTACTGTAGCTAAGCCTGGACATAAGTAAGCTGGACCACGGACTCTAACCGGGTACTGTAGCTAAGCCTGGACATAAGTAAGCTGGACCACGGACTCTAACCGGGTACTGTAGCTAAGCCTGGACATAAGTAAGCTGGACCACGGACTCTAACCGGGTACTGTAGCTAAGCCTGGACATAAGTAAGCTGGACCACGGACTCTAACCGGGTACTGTAGCTAAAACCAGATCACAGGTAAGCTGGACCACGGACTCTAACCGGGTACTGTAGCTAAGCCTGGACATAAGTAAGCTGGACCACGGACTCTAACCGGGTACTGTAGCTAAGCCTGGACATAAGTAAGCTGGACCACGGACTCTAACCGGGTACTGTAGCTAAGCCTGGACATAAGTAAGCTGGACCACGGACTCTAACCGGGTACTGTAGCTAAGCCTGGACATAAGTAAGCTGGACCACGGACTCTAACCGGGTACTGTAGCTAAGCCTGGACATAAGTAAGCTGGACCACGGACTCTAACCGGGTACTGTAGCTAAGCCTGGACATAAGTAAGCTGGACCACGGACTCTAACCGGGTACTGTAGCTAAGCCTGGACATAAGTAAGCTGGACCACGGACTCTAACCGGGTACTGTAGCTAAAACCAGATCACAGGTAAGCTGGACCACGGACTCTAACCGGGTACTGTAGGTAAGCCTGGACATAAGTAAGCTGGACCACGGACTCTAACCGGGTACTGTAGGTAAGCCTGGACATAAGTAAGCTGGACCACGGACTCTAACCGGGTACTGTAGGTAAGCCTGGACATAAGTAAGCTGGACCACGGACTCTAACCGGGTACTGTAGGTAAGCCTGGACATAAGTAAGCTGGACCACGGACTCTAACCGGGTACTGTAGGTAAGCCTGGACATAAGTAAGCTGGACCACGGACTCTAACCGGGTACTGTAGGTAAGCCTGGACATAAGTAAGCTGGACCACGGACTCTAACCGGGTACTGTAGGTAAGCCTGGACATAAGTAAGCTGGACCACGGACTCTAACCGGGTACTGTAGCTAAAACCAGATCACAGGTAAGCTGGACCACGGACTCTAACCGGGTACTGTAGGTAAGCCTGGACATAAGTAAGCTGGACCACGGACTCTAACCGGGTACTGTAGGTAAGCCTGGACATAAGTAAGCTGGACCACGGACTCTAACCGGGTACTGTAGGTAAGCCTGGACATAAGTAAGCTGGACCACGGACTCTAACCGGGTACTGTAGGTAAGCCTGGACATAAGTAAGCTGGACCACGGACTCTAACCGGGTACTGTAGCTAAGCCTGGACATAAGTAAGCTGGACCACGGACTCTAACCGGGTACTGTAGGTAAGCCTGGACATAAGTAAGCTGGACCACGGACTCTAACCGGGTACTGTAGCTAAAACCAGATCACAGGTAAGCTGGACCACGGACTCTAACCGGGTACTGTAGCTAAGCCTGGACATAAGTAAGCTGGACCACGGACTCTAACCGGGTACTGTAGCTAAGCCTGGACATAAGTAAGCTGGACCACGGACTCTAACCGGGTACTGTAGCTAAGCCTGGACATAAGTAAGCTGGACCACGGACTCTAACCGGGTACTGTAGCTAAGCCTGGACATAAGTAAGCTGGACCACGGACTCTAACCGGGTACTGTAGCTAAGCCTGGACATAAGTAAGCTGGACCACGGACTCTAACCGGGTACTGTAGCTAAGCCTGGACATAAGTAAGCTGGACCACGGACTCTAACCGGGTACTGTAGCTAAAACCAGATCACAGGTAAGCTGGACCACGGACTCTAACCGGGTACTGTAGCTAAGCCTGGACATAAGTAAGCTGGACCACGGACTCTAACCGGGTGCTGTAGCTAAAACCAGATCACAGGTAAGCTGGACCACGGACTCTAACCGGGTGCTGTAGCTAAAACCAGATCACAGGTAAGCTGGACCACGGACTCTAACCGGGTGCTGTAGCTAAAACCAGATCACAGGTAAGCTGGACCACGGACTCTAACCGGGTACTGTAGCCAAAACCAGATCACAGGTAAGCTGGACCACGGACT